TGTACACATCCTCCTCTAAAATCCCATTCAGGAATGCCGTTGAAATATCCATCTGAATGATGAATTTCCCACTAACAGCTGCATCTGCCAACAAGACACGGAGGGTAGGGGGTTTGGCAGTGGGAGCAAAGATCTCGTTGAAGTCCTGCTTCTCCTTCTGCATAAACCCCTTCGCCACCAGCCTACTCTTGTAGATGGTGACCTGCCCTTTGTCATCGGTCTTGATCCTCAGCACCCACTTGCATTGTATCGCTTTCTTCCCATCAGGCAGCACCACCAGATCCCATGTCCTATTCTCCAGCAGACTCTGGTACTCAGCATCCCTAGAAGCCAGCCACTTGTCCCTATCTGGTCCAGCTAATGCCTCCTCCATGCTAGCTGGTTCCTCTGGTGCAGGGGCAAGAAAACAGTACGCAGGCTCATCCTCCTCATCCGGGTCATAGCCATGAGGTAGAATCAGCAATGCCTCTTCGGTCCCTAGCTGCTGCTCTGCTGCATCAGTTCCTGCAGTCAGCTTCTTAGTAGCCATACGGGTACGTCCTGGCCTGGAGACGGGTGTCTCCCATCCCTTCATAACGACACCCTTCGGCTTCTTAGTTTTTCCCTGCTGCTTCTCTCCTCCCTCGGGTCCAGCAGCTCCACTAGTGCTGCCGCCAGTTTCCACACCATTTTCTCCACCAGCAGATGCCTCCTGTACCTTCTCTCCATCACCATTTCCAGCAGCTGCCTCCTCTCCCTCCTCCCACACACTAGGAGTCAGGTCCAGCTGCATGGTGATCTGCTCCATCTGCTGGGACACCCTTGCCTCCGGCTGTTTCTCCCAGCTCCCATACATCATGCCCTCAATGAATTTCACATCCCTGCTGTCAAACAACACACCCTTGGATGGTTCCCACAGCAGCCATCCCTTGCTCTCAGCAGCCAGCCCCAAATGCACACACCAGATTGCACTCGCCCCCAACTTACTGCGGTAGATCTTGGGGACGTGGGCGACTGCCATGCAACCGAACACCCTCAGCATGTCCACCGGCGGCTTCCTCCCAAGCCACCTCTCCAACGGCACCCACGAGTCATCCCCAACCTTGGTGAGCACCCTGTTCCTAGCGACAGTGGCGTGCCGGACAGCATGAGGCCACATAGAATTGCTCAGCCCAGATTCTATGAGCAGCGCCCTAGCTGTCTCCAGAATGGTCCGGTTTGCCCGTTCTGCTACACCATTGGACTGTGGGGTATAAGCCGTGGTCAGCTCTCTCTGGATGCCCTGCTTCTTGAGCCAGGCCGTCATTTCAGCTCCAAGGAACTCACCACCCCGGTCTGTCCTAATCCGCTTCACTACACACTCCGCCTGCTTCTCCACGAATGGCAGCCAATCGTCCCGTATCGTGGAGGCGGCGTGGTCCTTCTGCTTCAGCGGATACGCCCACATCAGCCTGCTCCAGTCATCCACAATTGTAAGAAAATACCGCTCCCCCTTGTGCCCTTGCACCGGCAGCGGCCCCACCAAGTCCATGTGGACCAGCTCCAAAGGCTTCTTGCTCCTGCCAGCCACACTATGGAAAGGGAAACGGGTGAACTTTGAAAGCAAACAGATTTCACAGTTGTCATCGGGTGGCTGTCCGTTCAGCTTCAGACCCTTAACGGCTCCATCCTTCTCCAGCTGCTTCAGCAAAGGCATTGCCACATGCCCTAAGCGCCGGTGTGCCGTTGCCCAATCTGTCTCCCCAGATCTGGCCGACACTTTCACACCAACCCCTCCAACGGCATTGCACTCCCCCTGGGATGCAGACCCCTCTCCAGCCTGCCCCCCACCATGCCACGCCAGGGCCGGCAGCTGCCACATAGATCTGTACACGTCCTTGCTCTCGTGCAGATCCCAAAGCACCCGATTGCCCAGCTTCCCCTTATAAGTGCGTGCCCCATCCGTGTTGGTGTTCACCCCAGCCTTGCCAAGCTTACGGAGGGAGATAAGGTTGGCCTTCAGGTCGGGGACGAAGAGAACGTCGTGCAGCACCACCGGCTTGCCATCCGCTCCCTTAAACGCAGCTCGTCCCGCACCAGCCACCTTCAACATGTGTCCAGAGGCGGAGCACACTTCATTGATCGGTGCAGCTCGTACTTCGTCCAGCAGGTCCTTGCGCGGCGTCATCGTCCAAGCAGCGCCTGTGTCCAACACCCAATAGTCTAGGGGGTGCAGCTCTGCTCCAACTTTGGCAGAGGCGTCTCCTTGCTCCCCCTTGTCTCCCACATGGAAGAATTGGCCCGCGGTGCGCTCCTTCTTCTTCTCCGCACCGCCGTTGCCCTTCGGGTTGTTGTCGGACGAATCAGCGACCATGTTGGCGCCGTTTTTCTGGTTCCTCCGCGCACCGCCATCCTGGTGACGATTCTGGGGGGTCCATCCATCGGGTTTCTTATAGCACAAAAACCAGGGGTGCCCTTCCTTCTCACAATACCAGCAACTCCCTTTCATTTTGCCACCAGCACCCGACTTGCCCCCACGTCCAGATTTCGCACCGCGACCCCAACCGGTACCTCCTTGTTGGTCGTTGGAGTCGTCGTCTTTCTTTGCACCGCGTCCAGCACCACCGAAGCCACGTCCTCTGCCACGTCGGCTCCCTTGCATCCCGTAGCCGCTGCTGCCGTCGTCTCCACCCCTCAGTTGGCGGCGACGGAAGTCCTCCTCCAGAATCTTCGTCCGCACCCACTCGAGCGTCCACAAGCTCTGGTTCTGCGGCAGGCTCAATCCGCTCGTAAATTGAAGCCACGATTCCGGCAGCAGCGAGAGCATCTTCAAGCACTTGGTCTGCTCCGGGTAGGTGATTCCCGCGGTCGCCAACTTCGCGTAGAGGTCGCGCATCTTGTCCAGAACTGGTTGCACCGGCTCTCCTTCGCTCAGGCGCAACGCGGACAGCTCCCTCTCCAGCATCAACGTTGCGACAACGGAGGTCGGGGCGTGCAGCTCCTTCAACACGGTCCACGCCTTCGGACCGCATTCAACCTCCGGCAGCAGGTGCATGACGTGGTGACGCTGGTTCAGCTCCAAACTCTGTGACATCAAATAGTAGCCAGCCGAGGAGCGCTCGTCCCAATCTTCCTGCAGCGTGGGGTCACTCGGTCTAGGCTCCTCCCCAATCATTAGTTTCAGCAAACCGATCTGACGGAAATATAATTGCATTTTCCAGGCCCAATCATCATAGCCCTCACCATTGAACTTCTCGACGGTGAAATTCTTCAGCACCTCCTTGACAAGCGAGCCCTGGTTTGTTCGCGCTCCCCTTGGCGCTGAAAGACCAGAATCTTGGCTGCCGCTACGATCTTGGGCTGAAGATTCACCAGCTCCCGCCGAGGTGTTGCCCGCCATAGCTACCTATAACGAGGATCACTATAACGCAGCTCTGATACCAGCTTGTTGGTGTAAGGGCCTAATAAACTCAAGCTATTAGGACTTAATCAAACTTAAAACCTCTCCTCGGGGTCACCTCCAAGGGTCCCTGGGTGCCTGGTACAAGACCAGCCCCTATCCTCGGGTCCGAGTTTGTAGAGAGAGGGATCAAGAAGGACTTAGTCAAAACAGCAAGAGTACCTTGAACGTCGCGCAGCGTGCCGTGCAGACCGTCGGTCGGATTAAGCTGAGAATTCGCTATATCGAAGCTCGCTCCAAGAGCTTTAAAATGAGCCAAGTTGCCTCGCGAAAAGTTCTGCCATTACGAAGTTATGGCTCAGACGGTGTTTGCCTAGCATTAGAGTGCTAGCGTACTAGCGTTGACTCGGGTAGCATTCCGCCAACGAACCGCGTAGAAACGAAATTCCAGCGAGGAAGGAATTCGCATGAATCAATTTGACTATATTCAGGTACAAACAGAGAATGATTAAATAGTTCTAGCTAGCAAGGACCTTGGAAATCAACCTGGGAACAACCAGGGATGATCCCAAATAATTCCAAGCAACAGAACCAACCTGGCTGGACAAAATAGCAGGTGGTAGGTTGGTAAACAACCTCTGGTTCTGTTTTTCCAACCTGGGAAAACAACAACCAGGTTCAGGTTCTAAAAACAGAACCTGTTTTGTCTTGCCCAACCAGCCAAATGCTGGTTCCGCTGGTTTCCCCTGGCCTTGTAGCATGCAGATACAGACAAACAACATCCAACCTTCACCTAAATTGTACCCCTATAGTGCCTTCCCTGCTACACTATAGTTAACCAAACAAAACAGTACAATTCCGAGTTGGATAGAACTGAATCTGCGCAATCAACTCAACCGAACTGCAAAGCTTCCATCTTGGGTTCCTTTGCGAGCTCGTCCTTCCTGCTTGCACTGTTCATAGCGCATACAATGTTGTGCCAAAGCGCACATTGCGCGAGTACCTGCAAATGCATCAAGCGAAAAAATGCGAAAGCAAACAAACACACGAACATTCCATTCACACCCAAATGCATTCGCACACGCATACTCGTACAAACAGACGGCAGGATGTCGTGCAATGTAAATTTGCACCCAACACATTTACCCCAGAGATCTCTTCCTCTGAGACAGTAACCTCCACCTGCCTCGAAGGCCGCTGCACCTCATCGGCCTCAATGATCAGCGGTGTAGCAGGAAGCTTCTGCTGCTGCTGCTTCCACTCTTTGTAATACAGGGACTCGAGGAACTTCACATCCCTCGACACAGTCAGCTGCTGGCTGGTCAAGTCTCATACCAACCAGCCCTTGTGATCTCTTGCAAGCCCCAAGTGCACACCCCATCTCCCAGAAGCCTCCAGCTTTCCCCTCTTCTCCTTAGGCACATGAAACACCACCATGCAGCCGTAAGCTCTCACCATGTTCACCGAAGGTGCACACCCATATCACTTGGTGTAAGGGACCCACTGCTTGTCCCCCACTGTCGCCAGCACCCTGTTCTTCACAAGAGCGACCTGCCTCAGTGCAGTCACCCAAAACGGATCCGGCAGCCCCGCACGCCCAAGGAGAGTGCGAGCACCTTCCTGCAGGGTCCGGTTGAACCGCTCAGCCACGCCGTTCTGCTGAGGGTTGTAGGGCACTGTAAGTTGGTGCTGAATCCCTTTCTTCTTCGGTGCGGAACACCTTCATCTTGTGTCCGCTCTCTCGTTGTGCTCTCGGCATCCACTCCTTCAAAACAGCCGCTGCCACATCCCCCTTCGTCTTGAGAGGGTACACCCACACCGCACGCGTGTGGTCGTCCACAATGGTCAGGAAATAGCGGCTGCCCGAGAGCGAAGTGGCCCTCGTGGGGCCCACCACGTCCATGTGCACAAGCGCAAGTGGCGCCTTCGCTGGTCCCGTGCTGCTGCTGAAAGGGAACTTGGTGAATTTCGTCTCAAGGCATGTAGGGCAGCTCCCAATCTCCTTTGCTGCCCCCTTCACCTCCAGCCTCTTCAACCTCCCATCTTTCACACCAAATTTTGCAGCATAGGGATGTTGATGTGACACAGCCTCTCGTGCCACGTCTCCCAATCGGCCTCATGCAGCTGTTGCATCCACACCAGCAAGCACCTCACCATGTGGTTGCTGTGGCTGCTGCACCTTCTTGACTGCATCCAGGGTCCCATCTGTTGGTGCAGTCTCATCTCCTCCCGCAGTTGCTTTAGCCGTTGCTGCTGCCGCTGCCGTTGCTGGAGGTTTCCCGTTCCAAGGGATGATGGGAAGCTGTCACAGGTCCTTGATGCAGCTGCTCTTCTCCTCCAGATCCCACAACAACAGCTTCCCAAGCTTCGCACGGCAGCTGGTTGGGCCAAAGGTAACTTTGGCCTTGCTTTTCTGCAGCCGGCGCACAGAAAGAAGGTTAGCGGACAAACCTTCAACCAGCAGCACATTCCCAAGTCCCACAAGCTCCCCATTGGCTCCCATCACCTTGGCATTCCCAACACCAATCACAGGGAGCAAAGCACCTGAAGCGGCAGCCACAAACTTTATCTTCCCAGGGGGCTTTACCTCGTCAAGCAAATCTGCCCGTGGGGTCATGTGGCTTGTGCAACCTGAATCTATCACCCAGTGAGTGAGGGGGTGCATCACAACCTTCCCAACCGAACCCACATCACCCTCACTCCCTTTCACATCCTCAACCATAAGGAACAACCCAGGGGAGGCTTTACCTTGTGCACCATCACCTTGTGCACCTAAAACTTGCACAGCACACCTCGCGCACGTTCACCACTCGGCGGCTTCATGCCTGGAGGTGCCCATCCTTCAGGCCGGCTGAAACACTTGAACCACGGGTGTCCAGCCTTCTTGCAGTACCAGCATGCACCCTCCATTCGGGTGCTCCCCCTGCCACCAGAGCTCCCATGCCCCTCATTGTTCATGCCTCGGCCTTTCCCTCTGCCAAAGCCTCTCCCACGGCCTCGGCCTCTCCCTCCCCCTCTTCCTCTGCTTCCTTTCGCAGCTCCATACTCTTCAGCAGTATTTGTTGGCAGCACCACCTCCAGTGTGGCGCCTGCGGAAGTCCTCCTGCAGGATCTGCTGCCGTAGCCACTCAGGCGTCCACTTGTCCTGCTGAACGTTGAGGGTGGGGATGAGGTTCTCCCACGAGTTGTCGAGCACCGAGATGATCTTGGTGCACTGCTGCATCTCCGACACCTTGCTGCCCGCCGCTGCCATCCTCGCATAGGTGTCCTTGATCTTGTCAAGGACCGGCTTCACATCATCTCCCGATCGCATGGAGATGGCCGCCAGCTCCTTCTCGAGCACGATCACCATGGGCAGCGTGTTGGGCTGAATCACGTGCTTCCACGCCTTCGGTTCCGAGTCATCGAGCTCCACCAAATCCTTGATGTGCTGGAACATGTCGTTGTTGACCGACTGTAGAATCAAGTCGTACAGCACCGCGCTCTTCTCAATCCACCGATCGCGGGCATCTCCTTCCTCTGGTATTTTCTCCTCTCCCATCGCAAGTTTCAGCAGCTTGTAGCGCTTGAAGACGCTCCTCATCCGCCCGCTCCATTCCTCATAATTGGAGCCATCCAAAGCTTCGATCTTGGATGGTGGCGGTTCACTCCTCTTCTCAGCTGCATCTCCACTCCCTTGATTCATCTCCTCTGCTCCCAATCAGAGGTTTCAGCTCCCCCTTTTGCTGTCCACACTGAATTCCCACAAAATTTTCACAAGTGTCGGCGCCAACGAAATTTCGGCAGAGTTTCCCCTTAGCGGAAGTCACATCCAACCTCTAGAACACCATTTAGGCACGCCCACAGGCCATGGTGGGTCTAGAAGGGTCTTCACACCTCAGTAGACTCCCCAAAAAGTCCTCAATCAGCTCTGATACCACTTTTTAGAGATTAAGGACGGAGTCTAGAACATTTAGGGGCCGAAATATCTCAAAATCGTTGGACCTAATTTCTGGACAGAAACGTCGACTTCACAAGAAACGCCGTCGACGAAAAGTTAACCGTTGGAATCTCACGAAACTCGAGTATGTTTTAGCCCTAGACCGTGGTACAATTTCCAATTTGAAGCACATAAAAAAAAAGTATATCTCGAGTTATCAATTTCGGCGCACTAGGGGGTAAGCTGCCATAGAAACTTAATCACAATTGTTTCTCACAAGTTCTCACAAGAACCACAAAGAAGATTAGAGTGGCAAGAAACCAAGTGGGAGGGAAGAGGAGGAAGAGAGGAAAGGTCCCAAGGACTCCCCAACCAAGGAAACCCCTTACCACACAGTTCCCTTCCCCATAGGCAACCCAACTTTGACCTTTGTCACTATCCCAACCTCCACAATCCACCTCAACCCAACTTGGCCACACTTGCCAACCTGGTTTGGTTTCTCCCAACCACTTGGCAGCATCTACAGTGATGGGTACGAATTTCCCAAACCCCGAAAGTCTGTACCCCATACAGAGTCACTTCACAACTTCCCAAAGTCGTCGCATCCCAACCAAAACTTCAAACGTTTAAAACTTTCTCCTTCGTGCTCCGATTGAAGCGATCCTTGGCTCGTCGGAAAGCACTTGAGCAGATGAGTCACTTAAGATATCTGCTCAAGTCAAATAACATTCACACACACTCAGAAAATCCAAACCACACAAAACACAAATTTCTTGCACACGCTCACACCACGCATGCAACGCACGAACATGAGGAACATGGATGGAGGCAGACAGACGTGAATGCGAATGATAGCATCACACAACATGTTGGTCCAGTGGACCGGTTGGACCAGCTGGCTAGTTGGTCCAGTGGACCAGTCGGACCATTTAGCCTGTTGGTCTAGTGGACCGGTCGGACCAACTGGCTAGTTGGTCCAGTGGACCGGTCGGACCAACTGGCCTGTTGGTCCACTGGACCGGTCGGACCAACTGGCCTGTTGGTCCACTAGACCTGTCTGACAAACTGGCCTGTTGGTCCAATGGACTGGTCGGACCAACTGGCCTGTTGGTCTAGTGGACCGGTCGGACCAACTGGCCTGTTGGTCCTGTGGACCGGTTGGACCAACTGGCATGTTGGTCCAATGGACCGGTCGGACCAACTGGCCTATTGGTCCAATGGACCGGTCGGACCAACTGGCATCTTTATCCACTGGACCGATCTGACCAACTGGCCTGTTGGTCTAGTGGACCGGTTGGACCAACTGGCCTATTGGTCCAGTGGACCGGTCGGACCAACTGGCCTGTTGGTCCACAGGATCGATCTGACCAACTGGCTTGTTGGTCCAATGGACCTCTCGGAGGAACTGGCCTGTTGGTCCAGTGAACCGGTCGGACCAACTGGCATGTTTGTCCGCTGGACCGGTCTAACCAACTGGCCTATTGGTCTAGTGGACCGGTCGGACCAACTGGCCTGTTGGTCCAGTGGACCGGTCGGACCAACTGGCTAGTCCAGTGGGCCGGTCGGACCAACTGGTCTGTTGGTCCAGTCGACCAGTCGGACCAACTGACCTGTTGGTCCAATGGACCGGTCGGACCAACTGGCGTGTTGGTCCAGTGGACTAGTCAGATCAACTGGCTAGTTGGTCCAGTGGACCGGTCGGACCAACTAGCCTGTTGGTCCACTGGACCGGTTGGACCAACTGGCATGTTGGTCCAATGGACCAGTCGAACCAACTGGCCTGTTGGTCTATTCGACCGGTTGGACCAACTGGTCAGTTGGTCCAGTGGACCGGTCGGACCAACTGGCCTGTTGGTCCAGTGGACCGGTCGGACCAACTGGCCTGTTGGCCCAATGGACCGGTCGGACCAACTGGCATGTTTGACCACTGGACTGGTCGGACCAACTCGCCTGTTAGTCCACTGGACCGGTCGGACCAACTGGCTAGTTGGTCCAGTGGACCGGTCGGACCAACTGGTCAGTTTGTTTAGTGGACCGGTTGGACCAACTGGCCTTTTGGTCTACTGGACCGGTCGATCCAACTGGCCTGTTGGTCCACTGGACTAGTCTCACCAGCTGGCTTGTTGACTGGACCGAACCAACTGGCCTTTTGGTCTACTGGACCGGTCGATCCAACTGGCCTGTTGGTCCACTGGACTAGTCTCCCAGCTGGCTTGTTGGTCTACTGACCGATCGGACCAACTGGCTAGTTGGTCCAGTGGACCGGTCGGACCAACTGGCCTGTTGGTCCAGTGGACCGATTGGACCAACTGGCCTGTTGGTCCAGAGTACAATGGACCGGTCGGACCAACTAGCCTGTTGGTCCACTGGACCGGTCGGACCAACTGGCTTGTTGGTCCACTAGACTGGTCGACCAACTGGCTAGTTGGTCCAGTGGACCGGTCGGACCAACTGGCTAGTTGGTCCAGTGGACCGGTCGGACCAACTAACCAGTTGGTCCAGTGGACCGGTCAAACCAACTGGCCAGTTGGTCCTGTGGACCGGTTGGACCAACTGGCCAGTTGGTCCACTGGATCCGTCGGAACTGGCCAGTTGGTCCAGTGAACCGTCGGGACCATCTGGTCAGTTGGTCGAGTAGACCGGTTGGACCAATTAGTTAGTTGGTCCAGTAGACCGGTCGGACCAACTGGCCTGTTGGTCCAATGGACCGGTCGGACCAACTGGCCTGTTGGTCCAGTGGACCGGTCGGACCAACTGGTCAGTTGGTCCAGTTGACCAGTCGGACCAACTGGCTAGTTCAGTGCACCAGTCAGACCAACTGGCTAGTCCAGTGGACCCGTCGGACCAACTGGTCTGTTGGTCCAGTGAACCAGTCGAACCAACTGGCCTGTTGATCCAGTGGACCGGTCGAACCAACTGGCTTGTTGGTCCAGTGGACCGGTCGGACCAACTGGCCTGTTGGTCCAGTGGACCGGTCGGACCAACTGGCTAGTTGGTCCAGTGGACCGGTCGGACCAACTGGCCTGTTGGTCCAGTGGACCGGTCGGACCAACTGGCTAGTTGGTCCAGTGGACCGGTCGGACCAACTGGCCTGTTGGTCCAGTGGACCGGTCGGACCAACTGGCCTGCTGGTCCAATGGACCGGTCGGACCAACTGGCTAGTTGGTTTAGTGGACAAGTCGGACCAACTAGCCTGTTGGTCCAATGGACCGGTCAGACCAACTGGCTAGTTGGTCCAGTGTTCCGGTCGGACCAACTAGCTAGTTTGTCCAGTGGACCGGTCGGACCAACTAGCCTGTTGGTCTAGTGGACCGGTCGGACCAACTGGCTAGTTGGTCCAGTGGACCGGTCGGACCAACTGGCTAGTTGGTCCAGTGGACCGGTCGGACCAACTGGCCAGTTGGTCCAGTGGACCGGTTGGACCAACTGGCCAGTTGGTCCAGTGGACCGTCAGACCAACTGCCCAGCTGGTCCAGTGGACCGGTCGGACCCACTGCCTAGTTGGTCCAGTGGACCAGTCGGACCAACTAGTCAGTTGGTCCAATGGACCGGTCGGACCAACTGGTCTGTTGGTCCAGTGGACCGGTTGGACCAACTGGCTTGTTGGTCCAGTGGACCAGCCGGACCAACTTGCCTGTTGGTCCAGTGGACCGGTTGGACCAACTGGCTTGTTGGTCCAGTGGACCGGTTGGACCAACTAGTCAGTTGGTCAAGTGGACCGGTCGGACCAACTGGCCTATAGGCACAATGGACCAGGCGGACCAACAGGTCTGTTGGTCAAGTGCACCGGTTGGACCAACTGGCTAGTTGGTCCAGTGGACCGGTCGGACCAACTGGCTAGTTGGTCCAGTGGACCGTTTGGACCAACTGGCCTGTTGGTCCAGTGGACCGGTCGGACCAACTGGCCAGTTGGTCCAATGGACCGGTCGGACCATCTGGCTAGTTGGTCCAGTGGACCGGTCGGACCAACTGGTCAGTTGGTCCCGTGGACCAGTCGGAGCAACTGGCCTGTTGGTCCAGTGGTCCGGTCGCACCAAGTGGCTAGTTGGTCCACTGGACCGTTCGGACCAACTGGCATGTTTGTCCACTGAACCGGTCTGACCAACTTGCCTGTTGGTCAAGTGGACCGGTCGGACCAACTGGCTTGTTGGTCCAAGGAGTGGAACGGTCGGACCAACTGGCCTGTTGGTCCAGTGGACCGGTCGGACCAACTGGCTAGTTGGTCCAGTGGACCGGTCGGACCAACTGGCCTATTGGTCCAGTGGACCGGTCGGACCAACTGGCCTGTTGGTCCAGTGGACCTCTCGGACCAACTGGCTAGTTGGTTTAGTGGACAAGTCGGACCAACTAGCCTGTTGGTCCAGTGGACCGGTCGGACCAACTGGCTAGTTGGTCCAGTGGACCGGTCGGACCAACTAGCTAGTTTGTCCGGTGGACCGGTCGGACCAACTTGCCTGTTGGTCTAGTGGACCGGTCGGACCAACTGGCTAGTTGGTCCAGTGGACCGGTCGGACCAACTGGCTAGTTGGTCCAGTGGACCGGTCGGACCAACTGGCCAGTTGGTCCAGTGGACCGGTTGGACCAACTGGCCAGTTGGTCCAGTGGACCGGTTGGACCAACTGCCCAGGTGGTCCAGTGGACCGGTCGGACCAACTGGTCAGCTGGTCCAGTGGACCGGTCGGACCAACTGGTCAGTTGGTCCAGTGGACCGGTCGGACCAACTGGTCAGTTGGTCCAGTGGACCGGTCGGACCAACTGGTCAGTTG